AACATTAATAAAGTTTTTTATAGTAATTTAGTTGGTCCAATGGGTGATACAAAAGAGGAAGAAATTCAAGAAAATTATCATTTCTTCTCCTTTAATAATACAAATATAATCACGCTGATTGAGATACCGGGCGATGAATCAAGTAAATTAAATTTTTCCTTTATTTATTCTAAATATTTAAGTAAATTAATATAATAAGCTTATTACTTCTACATGATAAATTTAGTTGCACGTTTGATAATACGAGATGCTACAGGTCGTTATGCATGGGATTTGAAGCTGTTCTACAAAGCTTCTCTGGATGATTCGTCCAATTGTCATGCTGGTGGATTGCGATATGTTGGCGTGACGGATCACTTTTCTTTCAGACAAAACATTAAGATCGAAAAATTAATGGAATCAACAAATAAGACAAATCTGTAAGTATCTTTTGTTTGTTTCAAATAGATATCGAAAATCTCAATATAAATTCATTATGTATACTTCTTGCATATAGAGAGAAAACGACCCTTGAGCAGCGTATTTCATCACCAAGTGATAATCCCGTTTCTACTTCGGATAATAATATTCCAATATGGACAGAAAACAACAACAACAATTCAGAAGACAATATGCTAAATAAGCTTCTTGAATAGTATGTATTTTTAAAAATGTTTTGGTATTAATCTGACATGCATCAACACTATTAATATTATTTTTCTTACAAGTATTGGAGAAAATCATCCGGACTGCGAGGTATTTCCCGGTATTAATGAACTAAACGTTCTTAATGAATCGATTCATAATGATCCTGCACTCTCGCGTATTGAAAATCAGTTGGATAGACATATAAAAGAAGAAGCTTGTTATCGCACTGCGATGGATCCTCATGCGTAAGCTTTCTGTTATTGTGACGTTAAATTATTTTTTTTTGGCTTATTAACTTGATAATTTCTTTTTCAAAAGAAAATCTTGGTATGATTCTGTAATGTCAATCCGAAATAATATCTTTCACGTATGCGAAAACAATAAAATTGCCATTAAAGTTTCGAAAACGCCACTTTACTCGCGGTCAACTTCTCATCTTTCCCTTGGTGCCGATTTCTCATTATCTCGATCATTCCTTCCGGTTTTACCTCCCGAAGCTGAAAAGCCAAATGAACCGTATCAACAATGTCGGCTGTTCTTGAGTCATTTTGGATGGCTTGGTCTTGAAGCCTTGAAAGAAAATTCGATCCATTTATTAAACAAAACCCCGGCTTTTTTCCGCGATATTCGCCTTCTCGACAAGAAACATCCACGTGAAGTGGTAAAAATCGCCCTCATTTATGTTGGACCAGGCCAAGAAGATGAACAAAGTATATTACACAACACTAACGGTAGTCCAATGTATGAAGAATTCGTTGCTAGTCTTGGATGGGAAATTGATCTGGCGACGCATCCAGGTTATTTGGGTGGTTTAGAAAGAAATTCAACTAATGGTGCCACGGCTACCTATTATTGTTCTTCGACGTTAGAAATAATTTATCATAACGTAATAAAAATGCCTACGGACCCGACCGATCCGAAACAACTAAAAAAGAAACGACATATTGGAAATGACCATGTTCACATCGTCTGGAATGAACATTATCGTGATTATCGTCGTAATACGATTGGTGGTGACTTTGGAAATGTACAGATAGTGATCACCCCTCTGTCTAATGGAATGTTTGCTATTAATTTATCACGAGATCAAAAGATTCCATTGTTTGGACCATTATTAAATGGAATGATCATATCACGCAATGTATTGGGCTCCTTAGTACGAATGACAGCAGTCCAGGCTTTTCGTAATTGCCTACATCACATAAATGCGCCTAGTAATACAATGTTCCAACATCCTTACATAGAGCGTTTAGTAGACATTACGAAGATAACTGGACGTCATAAGAATAACAAGGGTAACGCATTAGAAACATTCATGTCTCGGATTTTTATAAATGACGATGACTCTACAATCTAGTAATAGTGTAAAAGCGGCTATGATATTATAAAAATAGCAGGACTTTTGGGTTTTATTTTTATTTATTTGTGCTTTAGATCTGAAGGAATGTCTGGATTAATTAGCTTTGCTTTTATTTATTCATTATTATTTACTTTATTTACTTATATTAATACGTTTAATACTTAATTCTTAATTTAATTTTAACTTAATGTTTGATTATTATCACCAACGTTAATTATTATTAGATTTTTGTTTGTCATTTGCTTATTAGCAAAATACAAACTTTTTGTATATAAATTTTAGAATTTGTTTTGATATAAATATAATTCGATATCCAGCGAAAAGTATTATTTACTCGATGAAATACACGCAGCAGTATTAATATAATTCTTCATAATTAAATTATAGAATCAAAAACCCGGGACATTTAATGGTTTTACTTAACAATTAATTGTTATCTAAACCTTCCTGATGGTTATATTAGATGGTGACCTTTTCTTCAAAAAATCAAAATCCTGGAAATTTTGTGAGCTCGATATTATTTTTTTTTCTTTTTCTTTTACGGTCAAGGAAAATGTATATAATACGACGATATCATTGGCTTGTTTGTCTTCCTGAGATCGACCCAGAAATTAAATATACATAACTATCTAATTGGCTAGTTACGTATTACGCGAATACGCGACTTCATTTCTTCCACTAAATCGAACAGTTGGTATCATGAATGAATTTTTCAATGAACTCAAACAATTTGGCACCCAACTTGAAAAGGATTACCAAGGGCTTAGGTGAATAGTTAGAATAACTATCCGCAACTCGAAGCAATCAAATAATATTTTATAATGTTCTTGTTAGGTCCGTCATAGAGAGCCCTCCTCTTTCAGTGCATTCTGGTCACCAGGAAAATTCACTCCGGAAATTGTTAGCTGAAACAAAATCGATTATGCGTGATACACATGAGTTAGAGCAAACTCCCAATATGAAATACTCTTTGATAAATATGGTATTGGCAGTTGGCGAGGTTTACCAAAAGGTCTGAACGAATGGGAGTTGTACAATGTTCTTTCAAGACTTTTACCATCCGAATATGCTCATCAAATACTAATTCAGATGCACGACAGCATTGCTATCTTGGAGGAAGGGCTGAGGCCGTATGGCTATGAAGGTCGGTAGCTTGTAAAGATCAATGATATACATATTTATGTAGCGTTAAGAAATATTTTATTTACTTTTAATTAACTTTCTAATATTAGCATCTCTTATTCGATCAATCAATGGATCTGGGAGCTCCTCGGAAGAGATATCGCCGCGTTCAATTGCTCTTCCAGAAAGCGATCCGGCAAGTCCAACTGAGTTAGCTGTATTCAGACAACAAAACATTGCACTACTCACACCTCCCAAGAATAAAAAATTCGATAAATTCAATCTGGACGAACAAGATAGTCCAACCTTGGAAAGTTTCGGCATTTCGAATCGCGCACTAGCTTTACTCAATGACGGTATAGAAGATGATAATAAAATTGATTAGATGTTTGTGTAATGACTCAATAAGTTCTCTTGGATTAAAAGGTACGCCCATGATGACAGACAGCATCAATAAGTCATTTGATACAAAAAGGTTCGCATCCATTAGCAGCCGAATAGATAAAATATCAAAAGACTCAATTTTGTTAATATAAACAAGTCCGGTAGAAACACCTACGCTCACCCCATCAAAGATTGCGACACCGCCGACAACATTCGATATAGAGACTAATACTACCCCAATTGCTTCACAACAACAAAATTGCTTCATTAAGAAAGAAGATGAATTCCCTTCAAAGTATGTACAAATACCTTTGATCAAACCTGAAGAAATGGAATCTTTGGGATATCTTCGATCACAACTTCCAGTTGAGGTAATAATTTAGTAATTTAAACAAATTAACAATACTCGAATTTTAAAATTGAAAACGTGAAAAATTTATATAGTATCTCAATCAAGTTGTGGATGATATTAACGAACTAATCAGAGGTAGCTCGATTATTTATTACTTTAATTATTTTTCAATATATTTTCTAATGCTTACTGATTATAATATAAAAAGAATACCAAGATCTACCCGAAAATGAGAACAGGATATATGATGAGATAACTTATGATGAATTGGTGCATGAAGTTGGTGGTATGTCATTTTTAGCATATATTGTGAGCTTTTTTATTAGTCCTAAAATCTTTAAAACAACAAATAAAACAGGTGCAATTGCAAATACAAATGCTGTACTACTTGCGTTAATGCAACTAAATAGAATAGAAGCGAGATTGAGCGATCAACGTCAGAGGAGATATCGAATATTGTAAAAAAAATCTAAACGAAATTAGCTTAATCCCAATAAAGTACATACGAACGACTAAATATCACATGAAACTATGATTTATAGGTGATATCCAGTTAGTCTGTTCTTATTGGACACATCTGGAAAAATATTCATCGTAATATACGCGTTTACATCCAACTATCATGCTTGTTACATTGTATGAGATGAGGCTCAAAATAATTTTAATATTTAAAGATTTTCTAGTTCAATATTTAATAACTTGGTGATAGTTTCAAGGCTAATAATCCAAAAGTTATTTTCTTAATAGTTATCCTCTCATCCCAGTATTTGGTGGCATCATTATTATTCCTGAATTTTGTCCCGTAGAATATGGATTTCGAGGTTGCCCTATAGGAACTAAGTTTTAAATAAATCTTCAGATTTAGATTTCATGAGCTTTATTTGTCTAACATATTACCATTTGGCGTGACTTCATGATAATTTCGATAACTTTGTACAGGAATACTTTGCTGCTGAGATCGTTTAACATTAGGAAGATAATGATGTTGCTGGGACGACGGTGGAGGACCGTAAAATGGGTCATAGGAATTTTCTGAATAAGAAAATAAATACGGAATAATAACTTTAAAGATAAAATATGCAATTTTTCAGTAAAAAAATTTGTTTCTACCTGTTCCACCACCTGGCCATGCTGGATGATTAAGATTCCCAAGGTTTTCTCCAAATTGTCGTCTCTGAGCATTGGATTGCTACGAGCCAATAGATTTTGAAAAAGTTTGGGATGGGATTCTATAAAGGATCAAGGGCTACTTACGATTCCAATCGGAACCTGTCTTGATCCCATATTTCCGTTTCCACCCAAGTTATTTATCGATGTCCCATTAATTCCAGGAATTGAGCTATTGCCGGCGACATTCTGAACTGTTTGTTGCATTGTGGGAACTAGAGTTCGACGTTTGAGCTTGTCATACATGACCTATAATCAAAACTTTTAATGACTCATTCTAACAATGATGATTGATGGTAAAGTAGAATAGCAAAAGACCTGCAATTTTGAAAATTGTCGTCCTTTCTCTTGTAATTGTTCAGAAAGGTCATGACTTTTACGTTTTTCGAGTTCTATTTCTTTCTGCAATGCTTATTAATTAAATATTTAATCAATACCTTGAATGAGACGATAGAGAGTTATAAGATTGAAATTTGTACTATAAATACCTGAAACCTTTTCACGTAATGCTGAAGATGATGTATAGGATAATAAGTTGTAAATAAAGATAAAGAATCATTTGAGAGGAAAAGTAATTACAATTTATTTCAGTATGCGCATCTCTCATTACTACTTGTAAATTTTTCTCTATTCTGTTGTACTTGTCTTCTAGATTCTTATATAACATTTCTTGAAAACACGCCTCTTGAGTGGTTTGATATGTCCAAAACGAAAGTGCTCGTGTACAAATTTCCATGATGAAATCAGGACGAAGGCCTGAAAGAACCGACTTATCAAAATGTTAAAGAGATTCATAGAAAGGACATCATGCTCAATGAGAAAGATTGATAAACTTCTTACAGATTTATAATCTTCGCTCGGATTCAAGTCGGCAAATACAATATCATCGCTAGAACATGTCGCATAATAATGAGGTTTTTATATCCGGTAAAATTAAAGACGCAAATTATCGATAGAGCTAGTACTTCTCTGTTAGACTAGTATCACAAGCTGGACAAACTAAGGCTGAAGAGAAAGCTTTATTCGCGCAATCAACTAACATAAAGCAAAGTAATGAGAAATTTTCCACAACGCATGGAAGAAATTGAGTCAACATACCACAAAATATATCTTTAAGGATAGTATAAATTTCAAAAAGTCAGGACACGTGTATGAAAGCTAAAAATCTTACTACAGAATCATAATGCACAATACTTTACGTGAACAAGTAGTCACACATGCGCGTCCTTCCGTGCTGAGTACCTTGCGACATTGAACAATGTTACAACGAAGTTCTGCTTCCATATCCTCAAAAAATGGTTTTTTATCGCGAATGAATAGATAAAAAGACGCGTTTTTTTTAAATCGGAAATTTTTATATCTTGAGGCACGTGAGATGATCATCACATGACGAAAGACGTATTAGTATGCTAGATAAAAGCTTTAATTCTATCATATTTCCGATAATACGACAATACAAAGAATGGACTGTTGGACACAAAAGTCTTAATACATGTACATGTTCTAACAATGATTCAAATGACGAATAATATGCTAGTGCTACTGTGTTCCAAATTTGCCATTCGGAGGATGGAAACGCATCGTCAAAAGGCAAAACAATTCTCTGTTTGTTCTCATTATAGGATCGCTTGTTATAACCGATTGGTCAATTGATTTGATTTTTCGCATGATTTGATAGAATTCTAGGCAACTGATTGTAATTACCTGTATAAGTCATCTCTATTTTGATTCTTTTTTAAGCAACAACAAAAGTTTAAGAACAGAAAAGCATAATGCCACCTTCACCTCCCATACAACAACAACAACAACAACAACCACAGCAGGGAGCAGCAACAACGACACTAACAAGTTCAAGAGCCTCAACTTTAATTCAAGATATAATTAGCGAAGAACCGTCACCTGCTTATACCCCATATCCTTCACCAGGTGAACAGTCTTTATTATTTGGACCTCAAAGACCTTGGGAAAATACTACAATAACTCCCCAATCAACATCCTTCACTGCAACATATTACCCACAAACCACGTATAATACCTCTCAACAACAACAACAGCAATCACAGACATCTCACCAATCTACACATCAACATCAATATTATCAGCAACCAACAACGACGACCGCAACTGCTAATTATTTATCAACACATTTAAGATATCCTGCGGGATATATATGCACGAAATGTCACAATACTGGGTTTAAAAGACCTGGGAAACCATGTCGAAAATGTTGGGAGTTATTTGTGATTCCTCATGTTTATAGTAATAATTCATCAAATAATTATTATGGGTACGCTAATAATCAATACCAACAACAGTCTCATCATAATCATTCTACTCAACCATTAAACTATTCGAGTAATAGTGGGGCGACATATAATAATATTCCTGGGAATGTTCTGGTCGTGAAACCGGGGGATGCTGCCCTTGGTGGTTGGTTATGTACGAATTGTCGAGGTTTGTAAATTGTTTTCGGATCTATCAATTTGATTGTGAGAATAATCCACTAATGTTGTTATTCATAATTAATTATTTCCAGGATCGGGACAAGCGCAAACATTAATGGGCGGTGGATTTTGTTCAAGATGTCGTGGAGTTGGTCGATTATTTCAATAATTTGGGAGCATGCAATCATTTAAAAGAACATTACTTTTCCTTACCATTTATGGTACAAATTTATTTCTTTATTGTGTTATAGTTAATTTGTTGTATTATGTATATATACATACCCAATATTCTTCTATAGATGATCTATTGATTAACCAATAAAAAAAAACATTTCTTATATCGAATAGCCAATGGGATTTATTGGATTCCCAAAGTATCAAAAGTTTTAGACTTTACAATTACCAATCTTTGTCAGCAAATTTATTTATTTATTTGTCATTTACATTATCTCAATCATAGTAAAATATAAATATATATATAGAGTTCCTTTTTCGAGAATATTAGCTTATATGGGGAATACAATTATTCATTGCCTTGGAATACAAGAACATCATAATCCATAGCACGATGCTCTACACCTCGGAAGGCATAAGAAGCCCCTTCGACCAAATGCTGATATAGAAATATAGTTATTATAGTTAAATAATTTAATTTTGATCGAAATTCAAATGAACTGAAATGCAATAATGTAATTACCCTGCCAGCTTTGCCGTAAATATAACCCTCACCATGGCGAATTCTGGCAATGTACAATTCTTTACCGTCTCTCTCATGGCCAGCCTTAAGTGGGATGTTAAATTGTGGTCTGACTTCACCATGGCTAGGAAAACCCAAAAATGTAGAATCATCATCATCATCACCATCATCAGTAGAGACTCGATCAATTTCCAATTGATAGATAAAACACTTACAATGCTTTCCATTTGAACTGATCCTGTGCTTGACTTACAGAAGTCAGACTACCACCGATATTGGCAGAAAGTACTTGATAATTCTTCAAAATGACTTCTTTGCCACCATACCCAATGTGTAAACCTTGGTTAGTTACAAAGCCCGGGTGAACTCCACCTTCATAGTCTCCACGACCAATATGTTGTCCATCGTAATTGAAAGCGTTCGCGCTGAATTGTCCGTAACTTTCTGGCGCCCACGTAGTGGCCTATTTGATATCGTTGATTTAATTTAAGTAAAATAAAAGATAAGGCCGATCAATTAATACATACCCAGTGATCTTGAGCAACAGGTGATGTGAGAGATTGATCTGCCATAATGATAATATTCTGAAAGAATTTTTTGGGAAAAAGTCAACAAAATTCCTGGCCGCTTTTATAACCGTCTGCGTGATAATCGAATTTATGCACGAAATTGTGTAATTCAATAATGGGGCTGTGTCATCTATTAAAAAATTCCCGCGCTCGGGGAAGTTGTTCGAGAATATAAGTATCATCAATCCCGACAATCATCATTGACAAATGGGTAATAGAGAATGACGGGTAGGTAAATAGAAAAATGACTGATTGGTGTAATATGCTACCAATGAATCCTTATTGTGTACTTGATTATCAAAACATTTCAAAATACCACAATCTTATAAATAAATAATGAAGTCATCGTTATCTTTTATAATATTTTTAAACTACACAAAGAAAAAAACTTACATTGAAGAACCCTGAACTTTTCTTCTTTTAGTAAGTAATGGATTTAAGTTAGTAGAGATGATGCAAGCCATTTTCCCTTATTCCTTGGAATTTGGTTGTCTATATTGGGAGTTATTCATTTAATTAATTCATATTGTTCACCTGATAAATTTAAATGCTAATGTTAATTTAATTATTTAGTCTCGTTCGTTCTTTGAAAACAAAACCATCAAAAATAAAATCCGATTGACTTTTCTTAGAGTAACATTTTATTACGTGTAGTTTTTTTCTAAATGAAGCCCTTCTTCCTCATTTGAAGGAAAAGCATTCAATTTTTATTTGATGATCTTTTGAAGAAGTCATAAGTTTACAGCATTGGATGTAATTGACGACGAGGATTCTTTATATGATGTAGAGCATATTTATCGATCTTTACCTTCATTATCTTGGTATGGTGGCCATTAGAGAGTTTGCAATGTCCTGCTTTTTCTGAAATGAGCTTGACACTTTGATTCACTTATCAAAAAAGTTTGGGTATCAATTTTGAGATAATCTTAAGGTTTTTATGTATCGAAGAACTTTAACATTGTGAAGAGACATAATCCATTATTTAGCACAACTAAAAACAGTAAGAACGTTAGGAATGATCTCTTTCTACCTAGCATGATCAATTTTTTTCCTGATGAAATCTATATGTAGATCTTCCTTTGTGGTATAACAAAGAACGTCTTAAGGACAATTTACCTTTTTTATTTTCACACGGGACGGACATTTTTTTTGCACACAAAGTATTCTCACTAAGCTGATGTCTTGATGTTAGGTCGTCATCAGTAAGTAATGCAAAAAAAGACAGGCCTACTCGCGTGAAAAGTGCAGATCTTTATTTTCAATTCTCGATTTTTTTGTGGGTCAAGCACTAGCGCCGTTATTCGATAACCGGTCAGGACCTACGGATAATAATAGCAAAGTATCAAAATAATAATATATGCATCTCGTACATTAAAAACACTATTATTGACATAAAATGGCGGCGGCATAATCAAACAGCAGAATGATGATAAGGGTCTCCTTTCCATTACTGCTCTCTTTGCGTGGGGCTTTAGACTTTTGCCTAAAATTTCTAAAGTATCTAAAATATATTGCTCATTTTTTTTGATATTCTATATTTCATTTTTATCTGCTTTGATTTCAATCTTAAATGAGGCCATGTTTATAAAAGAACCACAAAGATCCTTTAAACCAGCATCAGTATGAACAATCGACTCTTCGAACTTTTAAAGAAACGACGCGTTGTTGGTTTGCCTTGGTTTACAGTCCGCATGGAAAATAGTGACGGAAAAATTTTTACCATATAATTAGCCCCCTTTTAAAAAAGACTGGTTGGTCTGGACAGAATTTTTTGATTGGGATAGGATCGATCATGAAAAACTAGTCAATGAGTCTGCTCCTTAATAAAAGATGTTCAACTTAAAGAATTGTATTAGAAACAATGTTCATTATTTTATAAAATAAAAATTGTGAAAAGAAAATTGAAAAATTAGTAGTAATGATTCTTATAATTTTCTTTAACATATCAATAATATTCAAATTGCATTAATATGAAAAAAATATATTATATATTGATTTTTATAAAGTATAATGTCCTATTTAGAGATATTCTAGAAATAGATTTTTTGTATAATTATCTTTAAAAATTGCATCTAAATTTTTAAAGCTAATTATTATATTTTATATAGATTATATATTTTATAAAGTTTTTATATATTACTTATTATAAGTTTTTTATTAACTAAATGATATTAAATTATAAAGATAAAGTGAGTTTCAAGAATGATTTTCTTTATTATTATACTTTTTTCTTATTATTATCTTTAATCTTGATATTTTGTAATAAATTATATAATTATTGAATTTTATCTAAATTTTAATTTATTAAATTAATTTAATTAATTTTAAATAAAATTTTAATCTGTTTTTTACTTATAAGATAAAATATTCTTTAAATATAAAATTATATATTATAAAATAATTAAATAAATTTATAAATATTTAAATAATATAAGAAATAATTTATAACTTGAAAAATAAATTTATAAATATTTAAATAATAAAAGAAATAATTTTATAACTTGAAAAATAAATCTATAAATAAATAATAAATAAATAAGTAAATAAGTATTTTTATATATGATTTTTATTATTTAATTTGTTATATTATATTATATTTTTAAATTCTATTAGTTATATTATTAAATTTTTATAACTTGTTTTATTAAATATTAAATATACTTTTATATTATTTTAAATTTATATTAATTAAATAAGTAATTATAATATATTAATTTTAATATTATATTATTTATCAAAATTTATAAATTAAATAATTACTTAAATTATTATTAATATTAATTAATAATTTATAATATATAATACAAAAATATTAATTTATAAAATAAAATATAAATTATATAATAAATATAATTAAATCTTTTAAATATAATATTTTTTTAAATATAATTTTTTAAATTCTAATTTAAATATATAATTATTCTTTATAAATATAATTATTTTTTAAATATATAATAATAAAAAATTAATTTAAGTAAGTTATATTTAATTATATAATTATTTAATAAAATATAAATAAGTAAAAAAATAATTATAATTATAATAATATAATATATAATTTTTAAATTTTGAATTTTATAAACTTTTTAATTAAGAAATAAATATAAAATTTATATAATTAATATAAAAAGTAATAGTAAATATATTTTTCATCTATAACTTAATAAAAATTGCTAAAAATTTATAAAATTTTGACATTATATTTTATAAGATAATGAAAATAAAATTTTCTAAGATCATAAAGTATATTAATATAATAATATTTTGTAAAATTATATGCTAAAGGTAATAAACTAAAGAGCTATTCTGATTAAAGTATTATAAAAATTATTTAAAATATTTTTTATAAGTTAATTGTAATCTTCTAGTTACGTAATATAATATATCTGGATTATTCATACAGAAAAGTTAGGATATAGTATTATATTTGAGATAGAATTCATATAAAAAACTAAATTAAAAGCAGACAAGAGATTATGTTTTAAACTTATTCTTTATTCAATATGTTGGTACTTTGATACTTAAAATTATAGAATAGATACAGCATCTTTAAATAATAAATTAATATTATATAAAATTAATAATAAAATAAATAAATTAATAATAGATAATACTTATATAATAGTACCTTCAGAAAATGCTTATTAATAAATAAAAAAAAATAAATGATTATAAATAAAATATATAAATTTAGTAATATACTAGTTAAATTAGTAGAACAAGAAAAAAGAGAAATTCTACTAAGAAAACTATCTATATCTAAAATAACTTAAATATATCATGTGATTTTTCTTGATATAATTGGATGATTATAGTACAATAAGTCATGTATAGTACAATATGTAATATAGTAATAATCTGTAAAATAAAATATAAATCTAATATAATTATTCTAATTTATTATAAATTATCTTTCAAATTATTAAATTTCTTGAAGAGATATATCAAGAGATTCTTATTCAATAACTTTTTAAAATAATTATCTTTTTGATCTTTAAATTACTTATTTATAATAATATAGAACAAGAAATTCATATTTTTCTTTTGAATTTACTCATATAATCTAAATTTACTAAAGATATTAAAATTGATAATATTTTTTTTAGAATCTCAAATAATAATTGAATCAATTAAAGTACCTAATGAATTAGTTAATATAATTATTAATTTAGACTTTGACTGGTTTAATATATTTATTATTACTTTACTAAAAGAAGAATCTGAGATTAATAATAAAGAAAATATTAAAAAAAATTAGAATTTATAAATTCTGATAGTTCAACTACTTCTAAAGAAAAATCTGAATTATTTATTCTTATATCTGATAAAACTAAATTCTATCTTTAAAAAAACTAACTAATTAAACTTAAAGAAGTAATATTTTCTATTTATAATAACTTATAGAATAATAATAAAATAATAATTCAATATTAGAAACTTAAATATTTACTTTTAATTTAATTATATCAATACTTAAGAATTATATTAGAAATTAAAAGAAAAATTAAAGACTTTCTTGGAAAATATATATATAATAGATCATATAATATTATTCAAAAGATCTTTTAATAATTAATTTAACTTTATACCATTCAAGTTATATTATTTAAATAAGAAAAAAATATTAAAGATTATTAATGAATTTTTGCAGAAGCAAAAATTTTTTGAAGAACTATATATTATTATAATAATATAAAATTCTCTAATTTTATAATATTTTTTTAATTATATAAATCTTTATTTTTCTATTATTTTATAAATTATTATATAATTACTCTTATTTTTATATAATTATATATATTTTCTTTTATTATATTTATCTCTTATAATTATATTTTTATTTTATATATAA